TCTTGCTCATTTTGCCTCCGAGAAATGAGCAAAAACGGGACGGAAAACATGAAATTTTGCAATAATCTTGCGCCACCCTTGCACAAAACGACGATCATTTTTTTAACTTCATAGATAACAGAAGACTGTATTTTTTCTACATAACCCCCTCTGACTTTAAAGCTGGATCCGCCCCTGATTCTCAACACATTCACTGTTTGCGACACATTTGCAACAGTTTGGAAGGAAATACGAAAGATCTGAAGCGCTGGTTGTTCTTGGAAACACGCTCTTTTGCTACAAGTTTGGGTTACAAAATGTACTTCTTTTTTTGAAAATCGCAAAGGTATAAATTTTTCACTTAAGAGTCGAATTTAGACCAAAAGGCCACTTTTCAATAGCATCGTTTTCATATATAGTTTCGGAGAAAATCGAATTTGGAACTCGAGAGACTTAATCTGCCATCCACATTGTCTGCACACTTATTTGCCCCTAAGTCCGCTACTGTTAGAAATATTAAAAAACGAAAAAATGCCCTGCATTTCCACGAGTATTCGCTAGTGTTCTGATGTCTTGAAAAAATCGACATTGGCAACGGTTTGGGAGATAATTATTGCTGAATGTTGGGAACCGTTCGACGGTTCCATTTGCGCATACCTCCATTCTTTTGCCCATAACGTCGCTAAATGTCAAGATATTTCAAAAGTTCCAAAACCCCCAAAAAGCCCGAAGACGTAGCTATAAAAACTAGTCCAGCCCCATATTGGATAGCGGCAACAGCAAGGAAGTAAAACGAGTTCGAACTCAGAGAGAGTGCAACCTTTCGGAAAAAATGTTGAAAAACTATTTGGAAGAGTTAGATTCCAATGCATTTTTTTTTACCTACAGAAGCTCCTTTTTTAATTTGTGGTTTTGCTCTAAGTGTTTGTCTTTGTGTGTGCATAACATTAAATTGCAGCTAAATTTCTCGAAAGAGGATCATCTCTGAATTCAATGACAATATTCCAATCGCAATTCAAATATTTACATATTTAAAACTGTTAATAACAATCGGTTAGAATTCAGGACAAAATGCGTCAATAATTGAATTGAAGCGTGTCCTGACTGAACCTCTACTACATGACCCCCCTTGACTTGCAAGCTGGATCTGTCCTTAAAAGCAACTCAAAGTGGAGGTAGCATATTGTAGCACAGTCGATTATGATGATTTTACTCAAATTTCCCATTCGCTCGATTATTATAACATCATTTGCATTTTAGGTTTCGTTACAATTGTTGCACCCCGAGTTCGGGTTTTTAGGACATTGGTGCGGGGGCGTCATGATATCACAAGAATGGTTGCTGACTGCCGCGCATTGCATAAACAAGTAAGTTGTCCTCAAAATTAAACTTGTTTTAGCTATTTTTGCGCTGCTATTATAAAAAAAATTGCAAAGTTACACCCTCTGTGGCCAAACCGACAAAAACACCGAAACGTTTGAGCTTTATCACAGAGCGTTTGCTCGTAAATTTTAACGAATGTTCCCTCTATGGGTCATCCTATATCGGCACCTTGCCCAACTGGTCTAATTAACGATAAAATTGCTAAACTTGACAACAACTAGGAATTACCATTTCGAACCTCATGATAATACGAGTTGAAAATTTGTGTGACTAAAATTTTAATAATATTGAAGGAACCCCATTATATGAGAAGATTGCAGAAGTTTCGTCGTTAAAACTTGCTGCGTAATACTTGTGAGAATGATTATAAAACGCGCAACATGTCCCGCTAGCAAAGGGCTTGCTGGGTTTTGCTGTTGTTGAGCGTTTGTTCCTCTCTAAATTTTTACAGTATTACAACCAATGAAGTTCACATCCGAGTTTTTTTACATTTAATAAAGTTATTGATTTATTTTAGTGAGCTGTTCAACCTGCCCCTGGCGCCCCTTTGGACGGCAGTGCTTGGCGATTGGGACAGGGACATGGAGGAAATGACTGAAGAGAGAATTCCAGTGGAAAAAGTGATTCTACATGAGAGATTCCACAACTTCCAGCACGATATCGGTAAAATGATTATGCCTAGGCTGGATTTTTTAGGGTTGTCCAACAATGACCCGGTTATATTACGGGGGGCTAAAGCGTCGTAAATCTCTTTTTGTGTGCTGAGTTTCGAAAATAATATCCCATTATATGCTTGTAATATTTCCAGCGTCCGGTTTTACCACAAGTTTTTATTTCAGCTTTGATGAAATTGTCGAGGCCAGTGAAATTCACGTCCAAAACGCGAATTCGGGCAGTCTGCCTGCCCACAAAGCGACTGAATCACAATCAAACTGATTTTTGTGTCGCCACCGGTTGGGGCCGAGATCTCGAGGACGGTCTCTTGGCTGGCAAACTCTTGGAAGCCAAAGTACCCGTACTCGACAATGCGATTTGTAAGAAAAAGTACGGGCATGCTGTACATATTCGGAGCGGCCATCTGTGTGCCGGACACATCGACGGAAGCACCGGAACTTGTGTGGTAATCATCACTCATAATTGTACATACTTTCCTGACTGTGTTTCAATTCCAAATCAAAATTAATTCCTGGGTTTCAGTCATTTATTGTC